TTTCCCTAACACCTACCACTGCATGTTTTGCATTTTAATTGCCATAAGCAAGATGTATTAACAATTCAGATCAGGTATAAATACTTAACAATTTGCAATAGGATACTGAGCAACTAGTAATACATTACACCTACAGTTAAGTTCCTCTAAGTAACAAGACAATACAAGACCATGTGTAAACAAAAAGTTTTAGTTCACACATAAACTAGAACTACAGATGATCTTTGGAAAACAGCATCAGAAGATTTATTTCACAAAAGGCCTTTAATAACCAAACCAAAAGCTCTTGAATACACACAGAAGCTGTTTCAGTTTCCACCATACACCTTACCACAAATACTTAAAGCCAGCAGTGCTGCTGTAATAACACCAAGAAGCTGTTTCAGAAAACCCATCGTGCAAACTTGGAAATTCATGCCCGTTTAATGAAGCTACATGTTTACTGTGGAACTGTAGCTGTGACAGCAGAGAGCTCAGCACACTAATTGCTCAAATATTTTGCTCCTCTGCTTCACCAAAGGGTACCAGGCAATTAAGTGCACTGGAAGAACTCTACCATTACTTCAGTGTGGCTTAAAAAAAACCCAGTCTCTGAAGTACCATGGTCTGAAAGCCACAGTTTACCTTCTTCTGAGAAAGAAGAAAACGCTTTCCTTTCCAGAGTCACTCAACTACATAGGTCAGAAACACATATGTAAACCTAAAGTATGCCTCAAAGCTTCCCAACTTATTTTATACTATTGAAATAAATATCCTGAAAGAGAGAATAAAAAATTTGGCTGCTTGCATTTACCACTAACAACAAAATCACTGATGCTGGAGCTTTACCACTTACTCTGACAGCATCAGGATACTGTTGCTAGAAGTAAACGTTTATAGTGAGAATCTTGCAGATCTGCATAATATTTATCAAGTTCAATGGCATTTCCCTGAAAGCGTACTGTTAAATTTAACACCTACAGAGCCATGCTGCCGCAACGCATGAGACAGGGACCACTCAGTTTGACAGGTACAACTGGTACTACCTTCAAGTCATCTGAAATTGTTAAACAGGTTAAAAGAATAGCTCTGCCCCCAGCAGAGTCCAGGCTTTGGGGTTTTCTCAGGGTTTTGCTGTTTTACATCTGAACCTTTTAAGACTTGATAGTCCTCCCTGAACACAAGCCCTCTGCTTTCTCTAAGCTGCAAGATGTGCATTGATAAGCTCTAGCACAAGTTCCTAACTTGCTGAAAGAGATGATGTAAGTGCTGCTTCTAGAGTGAAGAACAGACTGACACAACATAAAACCAAAAGTAAATCACCTTGTGATACCCAAGGGTCCATCAGGTAAGCTGTGCTTGGGGAGCAAGTTGTCTTTAATATTTTAGTCATTACAAGTCTAAGGTTGATGCCTTCCAACTCCTTAACATCTTTTCATTTAAAGCACACCCCCAATTAGAAAAAACCTGGCATATTTCTGAGCAGTTCCATGAACACATTTTTCCCAGTCCTTTACAACTCCTGACATCCTTCCAGTACTGACTGCATTAACTTTAAATAGGATTTTTCCCCCTGATTAAAACAAAACTGTTCTCATATGATTTCTTCTAAATGTGGCTACCACCATTACTGAAGATTTAAAAGGTTATATGAACAATAATTCAGTGAGAGAGCACCTGCTTCAGCCAGATTTTCCATCTAAATTCAGCTTCTCACATTACTGCATTAAAAAAGGCAGCATTTGGTTGGGTTTCTTTTTTCTCTTTTTAGTAACAGAAGTAACAGCTTACCAAACAGAAGTTCTCAGTTGCTATAATCTATTAAAAATACACAGCAGGTAAAATTCATTCTAACAAAATTATAACATCCTTTTCCCCACAATAAACCAAACAACTTGGCCAAGAATTAAAAAACTACATCTTCTGGATTATCTTAGCAGCAGGTTGTGTTCCACAGGCTGCAAACCTAGAAAGGAAGTGATCAGCTTGCATCCAGGTGGGAGCTGTAACACCACACCACTGCAGTTAAATTAGGATCTTCATAAACATCACACCTTCATGACTTATGATATGCAAGTTAGATGGAAGTTTGTTAAAACACAGTCTTCAATACACATGGATTTTAATGAAAATGTCTACCTGAATTTCAGAGTGCATCATAACTAAAAGCAATTTATCTGGAAAACATACCTATGCACAAAGTTATGTTTATGCATTACAGCAAGTCCAGCAGCAATCTCACATGCCATTCTCTGCAGCAGCATTATTTGTGAGTCTCCTTTAATGCGTTCCTCCTCATTGCAGATGTAAGTTTTTAGGTCACCCTGTAAAAAAGAAGTTGAAAATACTGATCAGCCTTGGATGTTAGCTCAATCTGAAAAATACTTAAAAGAAATAACTAACCACATTACTTACTAACCACATTTGTGCTTAATAAAAAAATCTCTTCAGGTTTCCAGTCTCCATAAGGACTCTTACAGAAGTCATCTAAGGCATGTGGTATTGTCCTTTTAAGGGTTTTTAATCAAATCATTTAGTCATCAACATTCTAGATCAGACTGCCACATAAAACCTGTCATACCATAACATTTTCCATTAAAAACAGTTTAATGAGCTTCTGCTTTTAAATGAGATGAGTTTTCAGCAAAGCTGACTGGGGGTGGAAGGGAGAGACCAGAGAAAAGGGTTTCAGATATTGCCAGCTCACCAGAACTTTAGATGTAAAAAGCATGGCAATACACCCTGCTCCAGTCAAAGCATTCAGAGGATGGCAGCAGTTTTACTGAACCTAGGCAAAGCTGTGCAACAGACACACAGCCACTGAGGCCACAGAAAATGAACAGCTTTGAAACAGAAAATAACTGAGAACTGTCTAACATTCAGGAAGACTACAGTAAGTGAATCCAAGCAAGGGAAGACAAGTTTCTCATGCCATTATTGTTTCGACTTTCACAGTTGGACTTTTAACCCAGCACTCCTGTATTTGTTATCTAAAATACAGACTTTCTGTAAGTTTAGCAAATTATTTCCAAGGACATTTTTGTATTGAGACTGCATAACATACTACATCACAATTTGCTGCACCAGTGTAACATTCTGGGCTCTAACTGTCCATGTCCACTGCCTGCCTAGATCTTGGGCCAGGAAAGAGACTGAAGGGGAGCCTTGATACTGACCAGAAAAGGTGGCAATCTTTGCACTTTGGCTAAAAAGACTGAAGATCACTAAACTTCCTGCTTCTCTAGTACTCACGTACATTATGGAGCTAGAACTGAAGCACTTCATTCTTCCTTAACATGGTTAACTGGGAATGCCAATTTACAATTCTAGTAGTTCAAGCAGTAGATGTCTGTGTGGTGCATTAAAATCTAAGAGGGCAGTGGTGACTGGGTGGACAGTCACAAACCTGGGTTGTATTGAATAACATATGAAGTAATGGGCCAGACATACTACTTCAAAGACACTACTACTATGTAAAACAACTTAATTTTATTTTTCTAGACATCAACAAATTCTACAGTACACTCAAGCAGCTATTCTGCCTTCACCTGTTTTATATACACCCACTTATACTGTAAGAAGCTATACCACCTTGTGAGAGAGCATGCATAACTTCTAATACTTTAATGTTGTAGGAGCCTTCCTTACATTCTCTTTATACAGTTTTTAGCTACTAATTAGGTAACATTTATCTATTTGCATCCTACAGAATTACACTTCTAAAAATGTTTCCTGAAAGATTACAATTACAGCTTGAATGTGTTACCAGCTCATATATATATGTATAAACATTATATACAAACAGACGGAGCCCTTTCTACCTTGCCAGAGCAGATTTACTACAGCAGAATTCCAAAGAACTACAAAACAGAGTCCATAACACACAGGTTCCCAACTGCAGAGCTGAAGGAACCCAACTGAGTACAAACCACGCAGCTTCACTGACTGTAGGTGGCAGCAAGAGCCCGAAGTAAACCAAAACTCACCAGAATTGTCATTCATTAATACAGCAACTGGTTACTTGGGGTTTGTCCCAGTTGGATTAAGTTCCTATGATGCCTGAAATGCACCAAGGAATTGCTTTTTAATTTTTAACCACGTTAGTAACAGCAGCGCTGTGTGGCATCCCTTATTTACTAAATAATTCATGTAGGCACTCATTTTTGTAGGAAATACAACATTTATTAAATCCAGCACCTTGAAACATACTGGTTTTATTTTTTCCCATTCTAACTAAGGCTACAATCAAGGTTAAAAATACAAAACAGGTTTTTTTGTGGTATTGCTTTAAAAGGACACTGCTTATACCAAACCGGGGGGAACCCATGAATACACTCTGGCTGGACAGAGTGACCTGGACAGGCTGGAAGAAGGGTGCAACATGAACCTTAAGAAACTCTGGAAGGACAAATGCAAAGTCTTGCACCTGGGAAGGAAAAATCCCTTGCAACAGGACTGACCAGCTGGGCAGCAGCTCTGCAAGAAGGGACCTAGGGATCTTGGCAGACAGCAAGCGAACTCGGTAGATAGTGTGCCAACACCTACATAAGATCTCAGTAACCATGCCTGAGGAAGGCTCCTCTTTCTCTCCAACTTTCTCTGTCACTTCACTTCTTCCCTATTCTCACAGGACTCCACAAATAACTAGTTTGCCTTTCCTCCCATCCTACTCTGTTCAATTCAGGATCAGTTCAGCCATCTTTATAAGTCTTAACATGCTTTTTCTCAGCAACAGCCACTAGCCGGAGGCATATTTACATACAGCACTCCTCTGCAGTTTTGTCTGTGTAAATTCCTCATTTGCTTCATATGAACACCCAAACAAATAGCTGACACAACTTTGTAAACCAGCAGGTACTGATGATAGGGTTTTAGAAGTGTAAAGAGGTTACCACATCTACTGAATACTTGCTACCAAGTTGGAAAGCTACCTGCCAAGTCACACAATACCACATAATTGCCCCTTTTTGAAGTTCTTCGATAACTAAAACACCAACCAGCCTCCGCCCTCCAACACTGCTTCACAGTGTGGATACCCGCAGTCACTGCCATTAAACTGCCTAAAACTGGTGCATGGTATAGAGCACCTGCACCATCAGACAGTTGTTTAAGCATCTCTATGTTTAAGAAATATTAAACAGATCTGAGAGCACAGAGATTATTTCTGAAGTTGTCCTGGATTGTCAAACACCCCTCCCCCTTTTTCCCAAACCACACACCACTGATACATCTACTGTTTGCGTCATATCAATATTGACTGATTATTAAACAGAGCTGCTGGTTATGAAGTTTTCATTGCAAAGATTTTATTTTTTTTTTATTTGAAGATAATGTTTTCAAGTGGCAGTAATTTGAAAATGGCTACACAAAAGAAATAACCAACCACTTCAAGCAGGCACCTTCAACTAACACCCCTAAAGGAAGCTACAGGGCATTCCAAGCAAATACTGCATCCTGCTGATGTCATCTGCTCAGGGAATTGCAAGACTTGAAGAATTTCTGTAAGAATTTGATAGGCAAATCAGCCTCACAATATACATGCTACTTCCACATCTGAATAGCTTTCCTTTCCTCATACATTATGTCAATCCACTAGAGGATTTGCTGTGCTGACAAAATGCTGGCCACATAGGGCTGAGTAATAAATTAAAGTTAATAAGCCAGCTACGACTATTTTTAACATGGCATCATTCCACAGTGTTTAACAGTGAACAGTTAACTATTCATAGAAGACTGCACCAACATATTGAGCAAACTAATACAGGGAAGGGGGAAGTGTAAGAACTTACTGAGCATTTCTTTTTATATTTACAATTTTTTAAACAATTTTAACACCAGCAAAGGAAAATTAGCTTAAAACACTTCTCTGCAACCTACCTCTATTGCTTCTTGCCAAGCTCTGCCAAGCAAGGAACATGGATCAACTCAGATTACATTACAAAATCAGCTAAATATTAGGGAATACAGTTGCTGTATATGCAACCAAACCATCTCAAGTAACAGAAATGCCTAAGTAGTTTATAGGGCCATGAAAACAATTAAGATAGCCTGCATGACATTCAGCGTTGCTACCATGGCAGTTAGCTCTAGTATCTCTGCACTACAGTTTCCAGTGCCTCTGATCATGAACTTTCAGTGCCAAGGAACCTGGGAACTGATAATCCAACAGCATTGCCTGAGCAGCCAAGACAAGGTCAAGTGGCCCTAAAAAGGCTACAAATCCCAGTAAGAGCAGTTGAAAGAGGGCTACAAATTTGAAAGAGCGTGCAGAAAATGATCACTGTGCCCCCTAGACTATGCTGGTCAGTAAGCCAGCCACATTTTTCATTACTTAATATGCCAAACTTGCAAAATGAGGTCTGCATTGCCAAGAACCTCAAAAGAACTTGTCATCTGAAGACATTTAAATTTCCTATCCAATACAATTGACATATTCACCATCCTTTTCTTAATCACGTAAGTACAAGGGATTAAACCAACTTTATTCTTTGTTGTATATGCAACACTAGTAACACAAGGTAAAGAGCTTTACCACAGCATTATCCCACTGCTAACAAAACAGGACCGTGCTTCTTAGACTCTTGTGTGTTTTGGAAGCACCTCCATACCCTCTGATTTGCCCCATTTCAGAAAAATTAAAGTACAAAAGCAGCTCTCAGCTTTCAAGATCACCTACTTACAGCCTGAAAAACACAAGTAACCACCATCCCAGCCACAGTGATAAAAAGCAGCTTCTAGAATATCAGTGTACTGACACTCCACTAAAATCCTGTCTACTGAAAAAAAAAAAAAACCCCACAACTATCTAGTCATATCTTCTATTCCAAATGGTGCTGTCAGGCTTCCCTCACATTTTTTCCCTTCTTCATGTCTCTCCTCTCCCCTCACTCCAATAGTGCTACCTCCCACACTAGGCCCTGGGACTACAACAAGGATTAGTGACATAGAACAATACTGAGCTAACTTACTGCACTGTCTCAATCTCTGCATAAAACTCTTCAAATGAACACTGTTTTGTCTGCCTAGCCCCTGTATATTTGTGTGGACAGTGAATAAAATCCTATGATGTCTAGGAGATAGTCAGTTCCACCAAGTAAGAAGTCTAAGCCAGCCAGACTTTCAGAATGAAAGTCATGTTTAACTCACTATAATATATAATTTCCTAAAAACAAGTTTTAGTTCACTTGGAATAGAAATCAGCACAGACGTTTATTTTCCATTCCAAAGAAATTACCTAACTACATTCAAATTTATAAAACTACCACTTTGGCTGTCAAGCTTACCGCCTGCAGTTAAAGTGAAAATCTATTTTATCCCCTTAAGTAAAATCCTTTCCAGATTACTCTGCGGGATCATGACAATTTCTGGCATTAATCATCAGGCATCAAACAAGGATATTATTTTTTTCTTGTATACTTAAAGTAGGGCAATCTTTAAAAGTTACTCCATCTTCAAATCCAAAGTTGGATTAAATGGCATAACTATTCAAAACCATGGCAGCAATTAAATCTAATTTGGGTGTGTATGTGTTAAGACTATAAAATGCAATTCATTTTCAAGAGCCCTTTTAAAGAACCTCCAATTTAGTAGCAGGTTTAAAAAATGGTAAGTAGTATTCTGTTTCCACATACTGAAAGACTGTAAAAACCACTATCTGGTTAACCTTAGGCACCTAGTTTTTAAACTCTTAGCAAAACTGGAGCATTTCACTTCGATCAGTCACAGAAGAAGTTCAAGAATTTCTTCCATTTAGAAGAGAATGATTTTTATCAGCACTTCTGCCTCATTAATTTAACACAGCTAACAAATTTGAGCAAAAGAGCAGTAATAAAAAATACGGTTATTTAAGGTCACAGATTAACTGATGTTCCTCAAGAAAACTCAGACGTTCATGTTGACTCATTTAAATTGCTCAAGGCAACTGATGCAATAAGAACTTTGGTGCAATAGTTGCACACCTGAGTTTAAAGGAGAATTCGATAGTAGTAAAGCTGGTAAAAAAGGTTCTTGCTGAATTTTACGAACGTAAATCATCTTACTTCTCAAAGACTTATTTCTTAGGAACATAAATGCACTTCTGAGTTAATTTCTGTCTTGGCATTTTCCAAGGAATTCTGCTTTAAATGATATATAGATCACAAACTTTAAAAGCAGCCATTGAGCCAACGTTTAGACAGCCACCTGGAGTTCATTTGGTTTTTAATAATGAGTTGTGCTAAAATAAAGCAATTCAAGCCTTTCCAGATCATAGATCCATCACCATATCCAAATTTTAGTCTCTGAAGACTGTGTATAGCGGGCACAGTTCAAAGTTTCTCTAGACGCATACCACCCCCTTTCTTACAACATCCACATAAATTCCAACACATGCCCAGGAATGCGGTGACTGAGCGAGGATTTTTGTTGAACTATCCTTCCCATCCTCAGGACCTTTGTGGTGCTAACAGCAGAGCAGAAAGCAGTGAGAACACCCTTCACCTTACTTTTTGGTGTTCAGGAAGCATAATAAGGCAGTGCTTGGGAAGGGAATGAAAAGAAGGGTAAGTAAGTAGAAGAAAGAAGAATGCAGTAACAGAAAGATCAGGAAGAGACTAGGATGATACTGAAAATTCTTTGCTATTAGAATACACATTACTGATTCTGAAGCGAGCCTAGCATTGCATTTTAGCCCAAATCTGCACAGCATGGGCAAGATTTGAACACTCTGGAGGGAGGTATAAGAGCAGAAATTCTTTCCTGAATTTTCCTCAATTAACATTTTCATAGAAATGGTAATAAAAGCACATTAAGGTTGCACAGACAGCAAATAGAACTTAGGATGTGATGTGAGCATGTGCATGTGATACTGGACTGCAATGAAAAGCTTCCTTCCATGACCTCCTTTCCCCTCCAAGCTCCCTGTTACATGACGTAGGCAGACTGAAAGAGACTAGTAAAATCATTATCAGAGACAGAACAGCTATTTTCCTCTTCAGAACACTGCACAGCACCTAGAATTTAAATGATGATCCAAAAAGAATATAAACAAAGAATTACAATTGTGGTCTGTCTCTAAACCAGAAAAAGTCTTCCGAAATTCTGGTTATTCAAAAAAACTCTCCAGAAAGAAAAGAAGAATAATTTCATGAGCACAGGGCAGTAATTAAACTAAATACAATTTACATCAATGGAAAAACAACTGCAGCCTTTTGTATAAGTGCACTTACCAAGTCACAGAACTCAAAAACTAGGAGATAAGGAATGGCTTCCACACACTGCCCAATACACTGGAGAACGTTTGGATGCTGAAGAATGCTAGAGTGAAGAGAAAAAAAAAACCAACCAGTTAAAGCCAGAAAGATCACAGTACACATTATTTGCAATATAATACAACACACTGAAATCCCTACCAGAAGTTTCAACACACAACAGTGGAGGGGGGTGGCACAAACAGCAGGTGTGAGTATCCAAAGCCACAGATTCCATCTGCACCTTTGTATCTCCTTTGTATTGCTGCAGCATATCGCTGAGAGCAGCTGAAACTCAGAGGATCTCAAAACCACAATAGCCAGCACTGCCACAAGAAAGTCACACCCATCCACCCTTATACCAAAAATAAGCACATGCAACTGGTTTGTGAGCTACAGCAAGGAACCAATCTGACTAAAAGCTAAACCCTTTTTTTTTTTTGTTTTAGCCAGGTCAGTTCCCAGCCAGATCAGTCACTTCTAAATTGCTTCAAAAACACTTGTGCCAATGCAGCAGAGGGAATGAGATCTTTTTCTTCTGATAACTACCAACAATTTAAGCCTAAGTGCAAATATAACTAGGACATTAAAAAGCATTAAGAATAGAAAACTCTCTATGACCATTCACTTGTAGCATATTCAGGCAAGGTAAACCACACTGTGAGGTATGCCTAGTTAACTACAACAGGCCTCTCTCTTCCAGTCATCTACAATAGCCATTAACTTGTGGCAGTTAGCTCTTCAGAGAATTCTCATTATCCTAAAACACAGGAAGATAAATTACACTCCGTCTCATATACCAAATTCCTTTCTAGTATTCAAAAATTCAACCCCCCGGAATGAGTATCCTCCAAGCATAATACAAGAGAAAGAATGCTAAACAATCCTGCTTTAATTGGCATTTCCAGTCAGATCAATGATTTCTCAATTGTAGACTTCATCTGGACTGTAATTCAGGCAGGGTTTTTGGTGCACAAGCCTCCTGGCAAACTACCTGAGCCAAAGTAGTTTTTATCATTTATTTTTTTCAAAAAGGGAACTGTGAAGAAAATAATGTGTATCTGACAACAGACAAAGCATTGCCAGTTCCCCTGCTGCTAACAGGGAAGCCAAGTACAGATGTTAAACCTCAGTTCCCAGAGGCATGAAACTGGGCATAAGTTTAGTTTGCAGCATCGGGATTTTGTTCCAAACAGCTGCAGAAGAAAATCTGATAAACTAAATCAAGTGTTTTTTCAGTCATGAGCAATAACTACCAAACACATTTAAGCAAAGACCTTATTTTTATTTCTAAGCAAACTCAACTTTCGCTCACTTCGGATTAACTATTTTCCACTTTTTAAAGACAAGCATTTCTGTTATAAGGGAAGGCAACCAGAGACAATAACACTGACTAAAACAAACGTCCGTAAGTCACATACAGTAGTATGAAGTGTGTAATTTAACCAAGCTGTGAATCATTACTTACTAGTACGGTTCTCCATTTCTTATAAACTGTTCTTGCTCTTTGGGACCTGCACTTGCCTTCAACTCCTTTACTATTACCCTTGCTACACTAGTGCCTGTGTAGATCTCTCCAAGCAGAACCTGAAAAAAACAAACCAGAAACCCCAAGATAACCATTGTGTCTTTAACCAGAGGGGAAAAAACGTTGCAGTTCCCCTGCAAGAAAAATAAGAGCTAAAAACATGCTGCAAGGAAGATCTTTTTTTGTCAATACATGCAGAGCTTTGCCAATTGAACACCCATACTTAATAAATCTTGACAACTGATCTACACATCAAACTTCCAGAAAACATGTTTTCTAGTGAAGACCACTTATTTACTTAAGATTTTTCCTAGAAAGAATTGGTAATAACAGGAATGTATTAATTCAAATCCACAGAAGTGCCGACTTAGTAACTCTAGTCAGAAACTATGTATAAATTAAAGAACTGATCAGCGCTGTGATTAAAGCTAAATAGTGCATGCAAGGAAATACCCAATTTCAGTTTTTCTTACGTTATTACTTTTCTTTAGAGTACTATTATAAAGGAAATAGTCACCTTGTCAGTTAGGAATAAGACTCAAACTGCAGTACAATATCAAAAGATAACTTCTCACCTTTCCAAACCAGCCATTTCCAATTTCCTGGATGTAGTTTAGACTCTGACGTGCAACTTGAGACTTCGATCCATCTGTCACACACAATGAAACAAATACAACACGTATCATACCACTCAGATGGCCAAAGTTACCAAGTGTTGAGGAAATAGTGCAAGCTCCTACAATATTTATTCCCAATTACAGGAATACATTCAGACCAAACAACAAAACCTAGTTAGACATACATGAAGTACAAAGGAAATGTGACAATAGCACTCGCGTGAAACTTTTATCAACTGCAGCTTCTAAACCATACTAAAGTATACCCCCTACAAACACAGTGATTCTCCTTACAAAATGCAAACTTTCAGGTTTTTAACATATTCTGTAAGAAAGAAAAAAAGGCTGAGTTTTAATTCCAATATAAAAGCCTATCAAACCCTGTAGTTAGATAAGGCAAATAACCTAAAGTGTCCTATGCCAATAAAAACACAAAAACCAAGACAACACTCACTGCTTGTATATCTTAACATTTATAGTTATATGCAGAGTTACCATTTTAAGAGAAAGGGTTTGACTGCTTTATTTTTCAGCCCAACTGCCCTACTTATAGATACCATCTGGAAGGAGGACATTTTCCAACTAAAAATACCTCATGTAAAGAGCCCAGAGAGGGAAAGGACAGAAAACAAGACCCAGATCTTGACAGAGGATGGACAGTAACACTGGCAGACACTATGTAACAGAGGAGATTCAGCAGCGTTTATCCCTCTGCTGCCTGATTAGTTAGGAACATTAATAAATATATGAATACAACAACTTCCTATCACTACTACTTGTCTAACTGAGAATTCTAGCACATTTTTATGTCCACAAACTACATTTACACCAGTATCATTTTACTGGAACAGCTATAGCTGTATAACACACTGTCAACGTGCTCCTAAGCATGGAGGAGGCTGTGTTAGTACAGCTACATTGTTACCAGTGTACCTTACCAAAGTACACTGCCTTATTTCTGGCAAAGTAACTTTAGTGACAGAAAGCATAGCTTTAACAACTATGGCAATGCAGAAGAGCTGACATTGAATTTTGCACAGATAAATTTTCCATCACTCATGAAAACACTGAGGAGTAAAATTTCTTTCTGCATTAAAGGCACACTGGCTGTTTCTTGGAATCTGTAGGTACAGAAATTTTACTAGAAGCTTCCCTGAACATCTTATAACTAAGCAACACACGCAACATATGCAAAAATGTGAAGTAGTATAAGAATGGCTACTTTAGACTAAATTGTCCTTGTAATATTTAAGATGCTTAAGTTTTCTCTTAGTAAACCTGTATTTTAAAGAATACATTCCAAGAAACCTTTCACACAGGGAAAAGAAATCTAGTGCTCTGTCTTAACAACAGCACATTTACAGCATGAAAAGTCTACAGCAACATTAAGAAAGCAATGCAGCTGAAAAGCACTGCAATGAAGTAGGAGTTTCACTCTTGCTTCCACTTGAGGCTAATGACTAAAATGCAATGGCAATGTAGCCATGAAGAAAACCACTGAAGAGCAGAAGTCATCAAGGTCCTAGATGACTTCAAATGTTTTATGTATATAGAGGCACAATGAAAGTACTCCAGAGAGGTTTATTTAAGCTAGTTTAATTCTCTCAAACTACCTTAAGTGGCAGCCTGCTGTAAATTAAGATTTTTGAAGTAATACTTCACATTTTATCCTGTATCCTACAAAATCTAACTCAGTTTATACATACGTAACAATTTGTTACACTGAAGTCAAACAATCAGCCACACTCCATTTTTGACACTGAAATTGCCTACTTTTGTTTTCTCATTAAAAACCAGTGTTTTACCTGAACGAGATGGAAACTGGGAGGGAGTTGGTAAAGCAATATTGGGAACTGAAAGAGTAAACACTTCTGCTGGAGACTGAACAGATGGAGTATCTTCTGCTGGAGGTGTAAAATCTATTTCATCATCAAAGTTATCTTCAAATTCCTGAAAAAAAAGAGATCTTAATAAACAAGCTGATCTTTGTCTTAAACTCAGTACTACTACATTTCTTTCAGTTTGAATGAGCAATGTGAAGGAGGCCTAGGTTTTTTCCAAGGACAGTAACAGATTTTGTTTTCTATTCCTTAGTTTCAACTCATTACTGCTTAAAAGAGATTAAAGTATCAAGTATTGCTTTTAACAAAAAGGGTGGCTTGTTGTTTTGTTATGGTTTCTTGGGGGAAGAGGGTTTGGTTGGTTGGTGGGTGGGTTTGGAATTTTTTTGTGTTTTGTTTTGGGTTTTGTTTTTCACTTTACATACTACCCCTGGCTTTGAATGAATTAGCATCCACTGCCCAGGCCAAGTCTTCTCCATTTAGAAATGAGAGCAAAACTCAATTCTAGGAACACCAGCAACCCATGTTCTAAAAGTAACTGTTCTCTGATGATAACAATTTCCCAAGGGTTTTGGCACAGTGGATATATATCTTCACTATTCTCAACCAACCGGAATGTCTTAAACCCTCCCAGCAGACTAAAACAGACAAATTAAAACAATACACAGAAAAACAACAAAAAGGATCTTCACAGCAACATTGTCACAAGGGTATACTTTTACTGCTGATCCTGAGAGCTTGTAATGACTTTGAACAGACATTAAAGTTCCTTACTGCAGCATGGACCAAGTACTGAAAATAAATGGTTGCAGCAAGACTCTGCAGCATGTAGAAATACAGTTGCTGGCTATTTCAGAAGAGAGAATGTACAGAGACACTGAAATGTCACTAACTGCAGTGCATTATCACAAATCATGAAGGAAGTATTCTGGATATCAGAATGTCACTTGTATATACATTTGTGACTTTGGATGCTTACCTTGAAATCTATCTCAGGGTCTTTACAGCAGGAAGCACAGTTTGCAAGCAGTATTATCAGTACTACTAGAGCACTTATAGACAGAATCACAAAAGATGAGGAAACTTCAGCTGTAGCTCCTTCTCCTAGAAATAAACATGTATACAGTATTAAATAAATATGTTTAGCATTTTAAGAAGTTCCTTCAAAGCATATTGTCCATTTGCATTTATTTAAAAGATGGAGTTTGAACATTTAACTCTGTGGATATGATCAAAAATAAGAGGAAACAGAACAGAAAAGACAGACTGGCAAAATACATCTATGCTGTACCACCTGCCTGAACCACTCTGGACTTACTTGATTCAAACTAAGAAGCCACAGCCAACACGATATACAGGAGTACGTTATGAACAAGGATAGTCTCAAGCCTCAGGATTCTGTTTAAGTCGACAAATTTATATGAATATCTAAACACAAATACTAGAAATCTGGCCTTTTTGAAGACGTCATCTACCTGGACTTGTGCAAGGCAT